GCTCTTCCTTGATACCTGCTTGCAGACCCAGACTTTCCATCTGACTACTCAATTCGACTCCCAAATGTTTGATATTGACATTGGACACAGTGGCTCTTTGTGTGGAGACCAGCTGTTTATTCTCCACTCGTGACTGCATATATCCACCAGGAGTGTTTTCTATCCCTCTCTTGGCAGTACTTACCTGGTTCTCCTCCTGCTTTGCTGCACTGACTGTCACCTGAGGGAGGGAAAAAGAAGAAGGTATTAGATAAAAGATACAGCAAATACAAAAAAAATAGAAGGGAGCTCACTAATTTCTGGAGAAACTTCATTCCAGAAGTGACTATTTCAGGTAACACCTTGCGTGTCAACAGAACAAAGCACAGCCTCCACCTGCTCCTCTGAGCTAAACCGACCAGTGTTACCAAGGCCGGTGCTAAAGGACAGGGACATCGTGGTTAAAACGAAGAAGAGAGTAGCGGGAGGTCGTTGTGTCCCTGACTGTCGGATGCCCACTGTCCCAGGGCTGTTCCCCCTTCGTGGGCGGACGAGGCGTGCAGCAGGAGCAGAGCTGCCCCCCAGCCCCGTGTGTGTTCTGCAGGAGGCTGCGCTGCGGCTGCTTTCTAGATTTCCGAATAAATCCAGTGCTTTTTCACCAGCCTCTTCCCCACCACCTGGACCCAGAGGGGCCGCCCCGGCTGTGCTCACCCTCGTAGCTTTCTCCCATCACGGGCACCAAGCCACACACGCCAGCAGTGTAGACGAAACCTCCGTCCAAGCTGATCGCATCTGCTTCACCTTTCTGCAACGAAAACGGCGCAGCGATGAAACACTGCCGTATGTCCCCGCACTGGTACTTTTCAGAAATCAGATTGTAAAAGAAGCACTTGATGTAAAGAAGAAGGGCTTGGGGCTAAGGGGGCTTGAGAGGCCATCCCTTAGCGCACGGAGAGATGCAAACGGACGCAAACGGAGGCGGTTTTGAAGTTATCACTTGTAACCACCTCCGGCAGCAGCTCTTCTCCCCAGACACTCACAGGCTCCAGCGTGTGTCTCTCCTGGACTGCTTCCCTGCCAAACAGATGTCCTTATCTTGCCTGTCCTTGCAAGTTTGCATTTTGTCTTGTCTTCACGGTGTTGACCCAACCCCCTGAGCCACCACCAGCATCCTCCTCTATGCTATGGAATCCCTCCTCTTTGAAGCAGGCAACTGATTTTTCTCTGCATTTTACCAAATTTGTATTTTGCCTTCCTCTTGCAAATAAAAAGTTACTTCAGAACCAGAGAATGGCTTTTTGTTTAGGAAACCTCCAAAAAAAAAAAAAAAGAACTGCCCAATAAAATTGTTTAAAAAATGTTAGTCAGTGAAAAACTAGTTAAGCCTTCTCCCTGTGATGAGGTTGGTTTCTGCCCCCTGGCGTTTTTCACAAAGCTCCTAATATTTTATTTTAAAATCTACCCCCCACCCCGCCCCACCTATTCCCAGGCTGAAAGAAGCAACGCTGCTTTCCATCCAAAAGGTTCACAGGGAGAAGAAAAGGGGGGAAAATAAAAAAAAAACAACCCATACCATGATCTTAACAATGCACTGCTTGGTGTTGTCTGCCACGGTGCACTCCACCTCCCCGTTGCTCATCACACTCCAGAGGTCACACTTGTCCTTCTCATCCTTGCCGACTGCACACCACCGTGTCTTGTTTTCTCTGCGGTTGGGGTTCAACTGATCTGTGAAACCGGCAGAGGAAAAAAAGGATAAGCTTAGAGCCCTGCTGCGAAATAAGGTTATTTTAGAGTCACCATCATAGAATGGTTTAGGTTGGAAGGGACCTTGAAGACCATCTCGTTCCACTCTCCTGCCATGGGCAGGGACACCTCCCACCAGCCCAGGTTGCTCCAAGCCCCGTCCAACCTGGCCTTGAACACCTCCAGGGATGGGGCAGCCACAGCTTCTCGGGGCAACCTGCGCCAGGGGCTCACCACCTGCACAGTAAAGAATTTCTTCCTGATATCTCATCTCAATCTCCCCTCTTCCAGTGTAATACTGTTCCCCCTCATCCTATCACTCCTATCACTCCATGCCCCAGCTCTCCCGTAGCCCCTTTAGGCACTGGAAGGGGCTCTGAGGTCTCCCCAGAGCCTTCTCTTCTCCAGGCTGAACACCCCCAACTCTCTCAAGCCTGTCCTCCCAGCAGAGGGGCTTCAGCCCTTGGAGCATCTTCATGTCCTTCTCTGGCTCCGCTCCAACAGGTCCATGTCCTTCTTCTGTTGAGGGCTCCAGAGCTGGAGGCAATGTCCCAGGTGGGGTCTTGTAAGAGCAGAATAGACACTAACCTGCTTCTGCACGAGGTTCTTGTTTAAAAAGCCCTGGGTTGGTGTGAACGGAAGGGATGGTTCTAAAGCTGAAGGATGCTCAAAAATCAATTTACAGGTCAGAAAGCAGAAATTTCTGCATAACACAAGCCGTTCATGCAGATTCGTGTTAGCTAAAGCATCGCAACCACTAAACCATCATGCGTTAATAGTACTTGGTGGTGCTGCCTATAATATTTCTCCAGACCTCACAGCCCAGACAACCATGAGACTAAGACCAGACCAAGCTGGAAAAATACAACCTAGTTACGTTCCTGTGAAGTGCCTTGAATAATCTGTTTTGATGCTGCATGAAGTCTGTGTACCCCCTTCCATAAATGCCATGGCAGCTGAGCCTACAGCAGAGATCTCTGAGCAACTCTACATTTTAAGTGGATTTCAGGGGACATTTGTGGGATGTTTGACACTCAGAAAGCCAGCTAGGACATCAGTTAATGCTTGACGAGTCTAGACAGAAATAAAGGACGACATTTCCGTCAACTGGCCAATACTGGACCTGGTGTCCTGGGATGTTCCCTCCTCTTGCATCCCAGAAATTGCTTTTCTAAACAGCAGGTTTGACCATGCCCAATCCCTACCACCAGCTGAATAACCGTGGGTAATTTTTCTTGTTGTAATTGTGGTGAAGGGAGGAGGGGTGGAGCGTGTGTAAATTTTCCACCTTCATCGCTGTGCTGCTGATGTTATTTTGACTTTGGCGTCAACAAATTCCTTTTGCTGATGTAACCCAAGTTTGTGAAGATTGTGTGATTTTAATGATAATACCTTTCACTGGAAATATTTTTCAGAAAACACTGTGTTTGAAAAAAAGAAACCTGTGTTCCTTTTCCCAGATGTATTTGCTGATCCCATCTCTTCAAGGCAGCTCACACCGACATGACATTAGTATTTCAGGTCCTCCCTACCTTCCTGAAGGCTCTGGATGGCACTGTAGTACTCAAAGCCAAGGTAGAGCTGGGAATCCATCAGAGCTGGGATACGCTTCAGCTGTATAGCAGAGTCTTTGAAAAGCAGGTCTTTGAGGCCTGGGTCCTTCTTGCCAGGTGGCCCAAAGAGATGGAAAGTGTTGCTTGTGCCCACGCCAAATTTCTCCTGCCGTGAGGGAAAAATAATCAGCAAATGACCGTACCAAAGTGTTTGGAGATCTGGAGAGAGCAAGCAAAGCTAGGGGACAGAAGAGGGGATGCTAGGGGAAGGAAAGGAGAGCTTGATGATACCTGTGCTTTTGAGAGAAAGCTCCAGATGTCATCAACCTTGCTATCATCTCGAGCCACAACGGCGTGAGCAGGCACCCTGGCCCAGTGACAGGCTTTGTAGTTGTCCACGGGCTGACGGCTGCCATCCAGACACAGCAGCTCGTACTCATCCTTCTCCTCCGGGGCATTTTCTGGAAGAAGGGAGGAACAATGAGTTGCATCACCATGAAAATAGACCCAAAAAAAAGCCAGTCTGGAGCAGCTTTGTAATGAATTCATTTTTGTGGAAACTCGGGGGAGAGCTCTTCGCAGAAGACAGTTTGCAATGGTGATGGGGTCATACATCGTGGTCATACAAAGGCAATGCAGAAAGGAGAATGCATGTGCCTGTGAAAGAGAGATTGTCTCTGCCTCTGTCATAAGTAACCTGACAGTGAGGGGATTTATGTGGCAGTAGTACCCAGACACCCATGCATGTACAAATAGATACACATAGATTTACAAACACCGTACAAATGGATTGAACAGGTCAGGAACCGCACGTGGTCTGTGAAGGCCAGCAGCATCAAGGCTGAAAACAGAGCCCAGGTCAGACATCACAGGGTTATGGGAGAATCCAGGTGGGAAGGGACCTCTGAAGGTCTCCGGTTTGAGCCCCTGCGCAAAGCAGACCAGGTTGCTCCAGGTGGATCTTGAAAACGTCCAAGGATGGAGAGTGCACAGCTGCCCTGGGCAACCTGTCTCACTACTTGACTGTCCTCAAGGGGGAAAAAATTTCCCTTTACCAGACGTCTCCTATTTCAGTTTATGATTATAGTTTCTTATCTTTCCACTGTCCACCTCCGTAAAAACCTTGGCTCCACCTTCTTCCTAACCTCCTTGTAGGCACAAGCAGACTCCTCTGAGGTCCCCCCAAAGCCATCTCTTCCCCAGGCTGATCAAGCCCACTTCGCTGAGCGTCTCCTCGCACGACAAGTGTCCCTGCCCCACGACCATCTTGGTGGCCCTCCACTGAGCTCACTGCAGGTCCTGGGTGTTCCAGGCCATCTTCCTTCTCCACTCTTTCTGTGGGCTGAATTCTCTCCAAAATCCCTCCCAGAGGGATGGGTGAGTGTCATTGCCTAGGCAATTGCTCACCCTGCATTTGCTGTGATAACGTTACAGCTGGCTCTGAGATGGAGCACCAGCGATAATACCATTGAACTTAAATCAAGCAGGTTTTTCTTCTTCAAAGAAGAACCCCACAGAAGAAAAAGTGGACCCCACCACAATCATATTTCCCAGTAACAGGGAAGAGTCAGTCCACAGTGTGCAAAACTTGTTTCTAGAGGTGAAAGGAGGAGAGGTTTGGGGCAAACCTGGAGAGGAATGAAAGTCTAGAGTGTAGAGTAATTGCAGGACAGAGTGGCAGCGAGAGGTTGGACTGGAAAGGAGAGAAACGCGTGGTCTTGCAGGCCTACCTTGAACGGTTGTGTGTTTCACAAAAGCCACGTCTCCTTTTCCATCTTTCAAACAGCTGCAGGTGGGAGGAACAGAAGAGATGTTAGAAAAACAGACGTGGTGGCTCCCTGTCTCCTGTTTCAGCAAATTACTTCGTCACAAACTGCAACTGTAGAGCAGCAGTCTTCAACCCCCCAAAAAGCCATGCTGGCAGGGACGAAAATGTAATGGCAGAGAAGTAATGCTCAGGAAGCCCAGTTAGACTTAGCACAACGCTAATGCTCTGCTCTCTAAAGTCCGTGCAAACCCATACAACCCAGCTGCCTCTCTCATCTGCCTGCCAGTTGTTACTAATCAGATCTCTAATTACCAGCACTCCCAGTTGTTCTATAAATTCAGTCTCCTCAGAACCCCCAGTTACAACACAGCCCTCCCTGCTGTAATGGAAACCTGCATGTGTCAGGACTAGAGTGTTTCCCCGAAGGAAAAATAACTTTCACTCACTGAAAAGCTCCGGAATATCCAGAATAAGGTGCTGTGCGGGAGCATTTGGTTTTGGAGTCGCCCTTGCACTGACGGCAGAGTTTTTGTTCAGTGGTGGCACCAGGCACGCAGCTGGCAGAGAAAAAATTGGCCACCGCTATGGATGAGAAAGAAGCAATAGTTAGTCTAAAATCCATTTTTACAAGGACCTGGAAGGGAGGGTGTGCATCAAGAATGTCAGTGAGTCGACTGCTCTGCCAGCCACCCCTGGACCTGCGCAGAAGATGGGGGACATTGCTTTCATCGTGCCACCCATCAGCTTCATGTCAGCCCATTCATCTCGCCGTTTCCCACCTCACCTTGCTCGATGGAGCCTGAGTCTCTGCCGTCCCACTTGATGTCTCCCCGGTGGAGGAGTGTCCCAATTGGGATGTTCCAGCCAGCGGACCTGCCCAGGCCCGTGTGGCAGGAGGTCTTGCCCTGCAAGTCATTTATTGTGAAGCCCGTTCCTTTCTTTACGACGGCCACAGCATAGTAGTTGGTTGTGGAGCCTGCAGAGCAGGAAAAAAAGCAGGAAAGCAATGAAAAAGCAGGATTCGGCAACATTTCAAATCCTGTCAAACTCCCGATTTCAGAGAATAGTGCTGCACTTCCAAATAATTAGCAATTTTGCTTGAACACTCATGGTTTTCCCATTTTCTTAGAGATGAGCTACACTGTCAATATCGAACCAACACTGTGCATTACGACCTGTACTGCTAAGTGACCTGAAAATACTATCACACGCAAAACTCATTGCCACCAGACAGATGTTAGGCGAGCCCATAATTTTATAAGGATGCTTCAACAAGCCTTTTTGACAAATCTTCTTTGGCAAGCCTTTTCTCAAATGCCGTTGCCCACTGGAGCATACATGTAAGCCTTGCGACAATGAAATTCCACATTTAGTCTTTAAAATTATACCTAGTCCATCACATGCTACATACGAACAAAGTGACTTAGTTTTAGGGGTGGCAGAGACCACGGCCTTCCATTTAATATCGATATTTTCTTAGATACCATGTTGGGAATGATTCTGCTGTGTTTCTTTGATCCTGAATATTGTGTACAAACAGGCTGAACTCCAGGCCGGAGGTCAAAAGAGATTGGGAGCTTTGAACATGGTGGGATCGCATGAGGCAAGTAAGACAAAAATGGAGAAATAACATCTGTTTGGCTCCCAAGAGAAAGATGGGAGAGATGAAGGACAGTACAGAACATGAGCAGGGGTGGAGCAACAGAGCTAACTCTTATCAGAATGGATCTCTGCAGAGCACTTTTTATGCTTTTCTTCTTTTTTCTGTGCATAGCCTGCACCTCGCCTCAGTAATCTCAACGGGGTGTTCCTCCACAATCACTAGTGGGAATGCTGTTGCCTCTTCAATCTTTTTTTTTTTCCCTTGATGACTGCACAGGAGATACACAGGTTATCTGTGCTATCTGTCTCGCTCAGTGTTTTACCCACGTAGTTCAAGGTCACTGAAAGCAGAAGATCTCTGGGATGAGCATAAATTTTAGGCCATGCGTCAGGATGACCATGGTTTCTGCTCGTGGTGCTCTCCTTCGTGGCCACTGCATCATCATGGGATCAATGACGAAATTTCATCTCAGCTAACGTCAGAAATGGGGCACTGGCTCTGCCCCTTTCCGTTGCAGTGACTCTATGGCCATGGGTGATGATTCACACTTTGGTGTAACTGCCCCCCACCCCTTCCCCTCTGGGATCTGGAAGCCAGGGGCAATATCTCGGACACCCAACAGAAATAATCATAGAATCATAGAACAGTTTGGGTGGGAAGGGACCTTTAAAGGTCATCCAGTCGAACCCCCCTGCAATGAGCAGAGACATCTTCAACTAGATCAGGTTGCTCCAAGCCCTGTCCAGCCTGACCTCGAACGCTGCCCGGGATGGGGCATCTACCACCTCTCTGGGCAACCTGGGCCAGGGCTTCACCATGCTTATTGTGAAAAATTTCTTCCCTGTATCCAATCTAAGTCTTCCCTCTTTTAGTTTAAAGTCATTACCCCTCGTTCTATCCTAACAGGCCCTGCTAAAAATCTTTCCTTTAAGTACTTTAAGTACTGAAAGGCTGCGATAAGGTCTCCCTGGAGCCTTCTCTTCTCCAGGCTGACCAACTCAGAATAATAATGTGGGAGCTCTGCGTGGAAAGGACGGCCTTTGCACGGTCAGTTCGTTACCACCACTTGGCTTAAAAACATTGCGTGAAAATGTACCTCCACTTTGTTCGTAGACCTCAGCAACAATGGGCTTCAGCTTGTAGGGGGCAAGGCCTGCCTCAAAAACTTGACCACCGTCCAAGCTAATGGCATCTGCTTCATTATTCTAAACAACAAAAAGATGTCGGTCAATAAACAAAGAGCAAGGACGCGTGAGGGAAAACATTTCCCCGGAGTCTCTCGGGGATCCTTGTGGGTGAGTCGTCCTCTACAGAGGGATCACAGGGAGCAACCAGTGACTCAAAGGAAACCCCCAGCCTTCTCCAGGCTGCTGAAACCCCCAACATTCTCCAGGCCACTGAAACATCCTCAGCGCCCAGCAACAGGTATTTGCTGCCCACTCACCGAAATGGCTTTTATGCAGTCGAGGTACGTTGCTTTCTGTAGGCAATTCAATGCAACACTCTCCTGTTGCATGAGGTCCCTTAGACTATTGCATTTGTTCTCTTCTGCTGAGGATATTGTGCACCATCTGATGCTTGGCTTGGAGGAAGCAGCAAAACACAGAGCTGTAGAAAGAAACAGAAATAAATAGTCTCAGAGCAGTAGGAAAACACCACATGGAGAGAAAAACCTTCTCTGAATACACAGTCTCTGGTTCCCTGCAGTCCTGTCCCCAGCTGATGGCCGGGTGCAGGATCTTCCTTGTACATCTCCTAAGTCATGCAGGAAGGCTGTTTCTTTTTTTGCCTGATGTGTGCACCTTCAGGAACATCCAGGAGGATGATTTCATCCCTGAGTAACGGTTGTCCTGCACAGTATCATGGTTCAAGCAGCCTGAGCTCACGGCGACGTCCACAGGAGTAGGAGAACAAATCCACACACTTCAGTAGAAATCAAACTCAAGACTTCGTAAAAGTGGAGAGAAAAGGCAGTCCACTGAAGCAGTGCCTTTGCAAATAACCTGGCCAGACTATATTCAGTACGTTGCCATGCATGACCTTGGCAGCTACATGATCTGATATACTTAACTGTCTCTTTATGTCTCGCCTCCTCCACTACATCCAGTAACAGAGGTGCCATCCCACCTCCATAGTCCTTCTCTCCTATGACTCCCCCAACCAACCGGTAAATGCAACTGAGTGGCTGTTCTGGGAGACCGGAGCAAAGGCAAGACCTCAGGTGGACACAGACTCACACCTCCTTCAGCGACCGAAACACCAGAAACGTTGGAAACTCGCAGTTAAAGTCTGTGGCTTTACCTCTGCCCCTTCCTGGCAGGACCCTGCAGACCGAGAGGCTATATGCACAGCTCCCTCCCTCCAAACCCCTGATGGCCCATTTCATTCAGACATCTCCAGATCAACCCGTGCCGTTTCCACTTTCTCCTTCACCTCTGCAATATTCTCTCTCACTTCATTTTTGAGCCATAACCCTGCCAGCAGGCACCTCCCCTCCTCCCAGTGGAGGTGCTGAATTTGGCCACGGGGAGAATCCTCAGCCTTAATTCCCACTGCCGTCATCTACGTTTTTCAAGTCTTGGCTGCACAAAGCCATGGTCACCTTAATGTAGTGCTGGCAAGCATCCTGCCCCAGGCAGAGGCAGGACGGGGACCTCCTGAGGGAGTCAGCCCGGCTGTGCTGGTGGACACGGGGAAGGCAACAGGAGCCCGAGTGCCACGGAGCTTTTGGGCAACCTCTTGGCTCCTTCTGTGCAGGGGAGAAGGAGGGACTTTTCACTGTTAATAAGACATCATTGTGTTCTACTACCCAGCAAAGGTGCTCGAGGACTTTCCCGTGCCAGCAGCACAGGGAGCGCTTCCAACCAGGGGACATTAATCCCCACGGCACTTGATAGGAGGGGTCAGAAGATGACCCACTGCCTGCTCCGAGAAGGGGACCCCTCTTTCCCCTCCCAGGCAGCGGTCCCCAGGTCAGGAGCAGGCGGCAGCGCTCTCCTTGCAAGCAGAGGGAGGAATCATCGCTTCAAGCAGAGCCAGCCTTGCAGCGGCACGATTTAGGCGTAAAACGGGAGCCCCAGCGAAGTGCAGCCGCGGCAGCAGGAGCAGAGGGGGGAGCGTGCAGAGTCTTTCCTGATTTAAGCTCTATTTTATTCTCACTGCCTTCAGGTTTAAGCCTGCAGGCTCAGCAGGCAGGTCTCCCTCTAGTTCCCCCCGCCCTCCTTTTGTTGAACTCCTGCTCCTCTCCAGGCACAGCACTTGGCCAGAGGGTGATTTCCCCCGCACCCCCCTTCATCCCATGGCAGCCGGAGTTTGGAGCATCTCTGGAACAGTCCCCGTCCCCGTCCCCGGTGGTGGGTGCCGAGCATCCCTCTCATCGCCTTCCCCGTCGCTGTGGTGGACCTGCAGACCTCCCTCCAGCCTCCACGGGCTGGCCCAAGGAAAAAAAACTGCTGTCCTTAATGCTCAAAACACCGTTCTTGTTGACAGAGATGCGCAGCTGCCAAAGCAAGCATCTGCCAGGCGCTCCTTTGCTTTTAATTAACCGCTGCCTGGGTCTGGCATGTGCCACAGCTCTAAACCAGCCTGGTCTAGGGGGAGACCCTGGGGTCCAGGGCGGGGTTTGGACTCCTCCTTTCCCCAAAAAAACTGCTTTCAGCGGACACTTACCCACTATCCCAAAGGACAGCACAGTAGCGAGAATGAGTTTCATACTTGAGCGGGGAGTGAGGTGCTGAGGAGGGGGGTGCAGCAGCCTTGGTCACAGACTGTCCCCTCCAAGTCTGTGATGGCTCTGGAACCGCTTTCTTCCCTTTTTATAGAGGAACAGCCCTGGCTGTGTTTGCAGAAGCGATGACCTAACACTGTTTGTCCTTCCTTGTTTCTCAATAGCTCCTAAATCGCCCCCCCCCCCCCCTCCCCCCCCAGATCAGCCCATTTTTAGGAAGCCTTTCGCTTTGGCACTGAACCCCTCCGGCAGGCAGGAGTCAGAGCAGGGCACGGTGCTTTTCATTTTACAAGGGGCTTCAGGTGGAAAATTCCCAAGTTGTGACATTTGAATTCCCCTGCGGGGCTGAGGCGCCACGGGAGGGGGCGATTTTCTTTGTGCTGGCCACCCCCTGCCTTGCACAGCCTGATCTCAGAAAGTCCCCGCTGGCTCCAGCCCCAAGTTTTGCATATTTGCCAGTAACTGCTGCTGTTGTGCCCGTGACCCTTTGGCTCACAGCACCCCGAGTGCCTGCCCGCTGCCTTGGCAATGGCGATGGGGTTGAAAGAGGCAGTAAATGTTCCTTCCGCATGAGCTGGCAAGCTTCTTGCACGGGCAAAGAAAGTCAACGGCAGTGACCAGGCAGCTCGGTAAGTGCCCTGCAGAAAGAGCACGCTGCGCCGTCGTGAAGCTCTTGGGATGAACCTGGGAAGAAATGCTGAGATCAGCGGTCACCCTCCTCCCCCTTCCTCTGCAAAGCCTCTCCATCTCATCGTATCACTCCCGACTTATCTCCCTGCAGGCAGGACCAGAGGGCAAAAATGGCTTTACAAAGGTCTGCCTTCGTCATGCTGTCCTGGGCTCAACGTCCCGATCTTTGCTGCAGGCTACAGGACCAGCTTCAGGTTGACTTTGGCACATGCAGACTAAATGAGAGTCCCTGGACTATATCAGCTAGCCCACAAGCCCTGGCAGCATCCCTAGACAGCAGCTGCTAGGGCTGCTCCACCCACCATGTCCACCCAACACAAGCTACAAGAGTTCTGTAGGAACCCAACGGTGAGGTCCAGCTGCCAGGCTTGCTCTCAAGAGCAACCAGCCTCCCTTTGTGATCTTCTGGATCTCCTGCACAGGTCCTTCCCCTCCCGTTGCCTGCACCCTCCAGGCAGCAGTGCCCCGGGCTTGCCCACAGCGGGCTCCTGACTGAGGTTGGTTGGAAGCACCCTGGGTTGGCTCTTCTCCCTCCTCCCAGCAGGCTCGGAGCACAGTGACCTGCAGGTGGGTGGTGGTGGCCAGAGTGGCTTCGGTGCAGGTGGGAGCCCAGTGTCAGGTCAAGGATATGGCTCTACAAAGTGACTTGGGGAAGGAGGCTGCTGGAGACCTTCAGGCAATGACCTCCACGGTGGCACTATGAGCCTGCCCTACCTGTGGCTCTGGCTGCTGGAGGTCCCTACAGGCTGAGTGAGAGGCACTCATGGCCATGCCAGTTATTTCAGCATCACCTTTACCAGTTCCTTCAGCATGGCTAGTTCCTATTTCTCATCTCTTCATCCCCTGCTTTCCCAGAAGAGCAGCACTTCTCATGTCCAGAGCATCTCCAAACACACTGCAACTGGGGACGGGTACACAAGGACTGACTGGCTCCCACCACAAGGCTTCCTTCCCTTTTAAAAGATCTCACGTCCATATTTACTCCAGCAAGCTGTGGCCCTCCAAGGTCTTCCTCCACTGAGACACGTAGACGCCACTGAAATCCATCCCCAGCTCCCCATGGGTCTCACCAATCCTTGCCTCGCTCGGGCAATGCCTGCCTGAAATGTCCCCGTCCACAGGAAGAAGAGGCACGAAGGCTTACAGGAGGCTGTCCCACACGGTTCTTCCATAGCTTTTTGTTGATTTGTTCCAAAATGCCTCTTCTAACAGATATCCCAAGACAGCCTAGAAATTGCAGTGCCACTGAAAAATCAAAGCTATCTGAGCACATAAATAATGGTGAAAATATTTGGACATCTTGACTCCACAAACTAAGTAGTTACAACACTATCCAGACCAGATAAAGGTACTTTTGCCACATGACAGGTGAAGGGAAAAGATGCAGAAGAACCTTTGGGAAACATAAAGGATCTGTTCAAGCAGCAGAAGAGCAGTTGCTGGAAGGGCCCATACTATCTTGCCTTCTGCTCATGGTTCCCAGCCCTTTGTACATGGACCACTCACTGCTCTTCTCTCTCCTCTCACATCGCACCTCAACCCCAGTGCACCCTCTGTATCTGCCGAGGGGATGGCTGAGATGTGGTGATGTGACAGGTGGTTTTCACTCCACACCTCTTTTTTTTTTCTGTCCCTTGCCCTCCCGGATAGCATCAGGGCAAATCCAGGGGTGGAGGAAAAAGCTTGGACTGTAATAGATTTTTACTGTTTACCTCTTCTTCCACCCTTTACCAGTAACCTCCTGGATTTCCAGATATCCAGCCACTAGTCATCTGGAAAGTCACTAGCCACATACAGAGCAGCTTCTATACCTCCTTTTGATGCTACCAAATCCTACCTTTCTCCACGGTGGAGTTCCATTCACCTCCTGGTCTGCATCCATCTTGAGGCTGCTTCTTCAGTGGCTTTGCCTCTCCTGTGGCCAAGGTCTGCTGCTCCAACCTGCCGCAGAAGAGCTCCAGGGAGAAGAAACTCTTCCAACATACAGCTTGCCTTGGAGGTACCCAGTGGCAGAAGCACAGCAGATCGGTGATGTGTCCTATAGGCCACCTGGGCTTGAAGGCTCAGACCTTGACCTCCAAAGGACCCAACAGGCCTCCAAGATGCTCCTTTCTGAGGAGTGCATCCCACCAATGGAAGCCTTGGATGGAAAAGGCAAAGTATTCTGGGTGGCCTCCAGCTGCAAAATGCCTTGCTTTGGGAGTCCAGGAGGGACAAACTTCTTGGCACAACCAACTTCTTCCCCTGAATGTCTGTCAGACAACTGCTTTTCCAAGTTTTGTGTTAGAAAATGCACGCTTGTTCACACAGCGGGTGCCCTCTCACACCAAATACACACACGTGCTTCTACAAGTTTGAGTTAGATCCATACCTTGCTGCCTGGGTTCATGGTTTTGTGCAAAACCAGAGCTCCTTCCATGCCCAAACGCATGAGTGTGGCTGACTAAGCTGGAATTGAACAGCGAAGGCCAATTCTTACTAACGGTGGAAATTCTTGTTGTCTTTTAAGGTAAGAGGTCAATGTTCCGGCTCGTGCAAGCAGGAGCAGCTTTACGAGAAAGGACAAAGCAAAGGCAGTGCCTCTCAGACTTTGTCCTTGTTATCCAGCAAGCATGAAGCCTTCTGTAGCATGCATCTTCGTGAAACGAGCTGAATTCTTATTACACATCACAGGTTCGTTGTATTGCGACACTACGGATCCCAGCTGTTGTGTTTGCAGAAAGAGGACGCTGCTAAAAATTACACGAGTGATGAAGAAAGACAAATTAACACACCCTCTGACTATCCACAGGTCACTGGTCATGCATAAACACATCTGAACCCTAAGAAAAGAACAGGGCTCATCCCCACGCTAAGTAAAATTGAAGGTAAAATAATACCGCTTATTTCCACATCGCCCTTATTACTGCAAACCACACTGTGGTTTGTGGTTGAGACGAGGCTGGACCGGAGTTTTGGTTGCGTCCTAAGGAAAGGACGTTTGTTGTAATTGGGCTGGGATAAAGTTAGAGCTGGCACAACTGCCTGGGAGAGGGCTCAGCTTTGTCACGGTGCTGGCTGCTCCTCACAGTGGAGCTCATCCTGGAGCCAACGCAGCTGAACGGAGCCTGGAGCCATAGAATCGTAGAATGGTTTAGGTTGGAAAGAACCTTGAAGATCATCGAGTTCCAAACCCCCTGCCATAGACAGGGACACCTCCCACTAGACCAGGTTGCCCAGGGCCACGTCCAGCCTGGCCTTGAACACCTCCAGGGATGGGGCCTCAACAACCTCTCTGGGCAACCAGTGTCTTATTACCCTTAAAGGGAAAAACTTCTTCCTAATGTTTAATCTAAACCTGCCCTCTTCCAGTTTAAAGCCATTCCCTCTCGTCCTATCACTACATGCCCTGGTAAAAAGTCCTTCTCCAGCTCTCCTGCAGGCTCTGGTTGTGTGTGCATGTGGGGAAAACATTGACCAGGGAGAGGGGAAGCTGTGATCAATGCGCCACACCAATACAGGCATCCCCCCTGACTCCTTGGAGCAGTTATTTCCATAGACGTGCTCCTATCCAGCAGCAGAGGGCTTTGGAGCTTGTGCTGCTGTTCCCAGGGGTCACCAGGCTGGCAGTTGTGTGATCAAGACCCAGCTCACCTTAAGAGATTAAGCAGAAAAGGCACTGAAAATTAGAAGGGAAAAAAAAAAATGGAACCATGATGTGGGACGGGCTGAGGGCTTGTCTACAGGAGCTGGCTTGTTTCCCTCTAGAAATGGGAATTTCTAGTTTGTGGCTCAGAGAAGGCTGGAGCCTACCCATGACAAGGACGTCAGCGCAGTTGACCGTGAAAGCTGGGGTCAAATTCTTGTCCTGGCCTGGCCCCGCAGGTCACGTCACAGCAGGTGAAGGCATAAGAGCAGCCTGACAGGAACCTATTTTCCCAGACCATCTTCCCTGCTCCTCCTTAGCACAGGATAGGACACGAGACTGACACTGAACCAGTCACGGTGCTCATCTCGAGCCATGGGAAATGATGATGCTGGGTGGTGAAGGGATGGAGAGCAGCTCTCTGGAGAGGCACTTGGGGATACTGATGGATGACAAATTGGACATGAGCCGGCACTGTGCCATTGCAGCCCAGAAAGCCACCAGCACCCTGGGCTGCATCCCCAGCAGCGTGGCCAGCAGGGCGAGGGGGGATCGTGCCCCTCTGCTGCGCTCTGGGGAGACCCCCCCGCAGTGCTGCCTCCAGCTCTGGGGGGTCCCCAGTGGAAGACAGACATCGACCTGTTACAGCCAGTCCAGAGGAGGGCCAGAAAGATGACCAGAGGGATGGAACACCTCTCCTATGGAGAGAGGGTGAGAGAGTTTTGGTCGGAAAGATGGAGAGAAGAGACCTTTCACCAGGGCCTGCAGTGACAGGACAAGGGGTAATGGGTTTAAAATGGAAGAGGGTAGATTTAGATTGGATATAAGGAAGAAATTCTTTACTGTGAGAGTGGTGAGCCCCTGGTGCAGGTTGCCCCGAGAAGCTGTGGCTGCCCCATCCCTGGAGGTGTTCAAGGCCAGGTTGGACGGGGCTTGGAGCAACCTGGGCTGGTGGGAGGTGCCCCTGCCCAGGGCAGGGGGATGG